CAGACATAGCAATTGGTGTCGACATCGAAGTACTCATTGGTGTGCGAATCGATCCGCTTCTGAAACTCTGGACCACTCGATGGCAATCTATGCACTGAACGCATGTGTCGGTACAGATCGTTGATCTCTTCGTACGCGGCTTTACAGTCGCTCTTCGGGCACACGTAATGTCCGGTCAACTCATCCCAAATGCCTTCCCTATTGACAAACTTCTGACGCAAAATCTCGAGCTCTTCCGGCGTGCAATCGGACACTCCTTTTGGGCGACGTTTGGGTTTCTTAACAATACTATCGCCAATGGATTGGTCGGCGGCTGTCGTCCATTCAAATGACACGTTTTCGTCGGTTTGGGACTCAAGAGGTTCGCTCTTAATGTCACCACTTAATGGTTGCGATGGACACACATTACGGCGGATCAGCTCATCCGATATGCACTCCCGAGTCGTTATCTTCTGTCGCTTTCCGCGTCTTCTCGCGGACACGTTTACCATTGATTTGTTGCCCCTTTTGTCGGGCAGTCTATAACTTGTGACCATATCTTGAGGCGAATCAGTGATCATACGAGCGATGAGTAGATCCGCGGGTGTCGTCCACTCAACCGCTGAATTACCGGTGCTTTCCGTNTTCAGCCGTGAGTTGTGTCTCAAACGTGTGGTAAATGTGAGACAATTGAGTCTTCAATTTCATGAGACAATTGTTTGCAAACAATAATTCACTCAAAAGTCGTTTGTTTTCGTCGAAGAGTTCGTCAAAAATGTCATTACTTTTGACCAAAACTCGTGTCAATTGTTTTGCCATTACTTTCGATGAGATCTCAATTCAAACCACAATTCAAACCAAATCTCACAACAAATACAACAAAACATTGTTTACAAACACAACAACACATAACACATGCACTCATTGGGGGGACTGTTATTGCATTCAAAACAGCACTTAATAAATGTTTAAATCAATTATTTTATGAACTTTTAATTATTATCTATATTTATAATTACAAAATTACAAAAATTAATGTATTTGACAATAAAATTATATAACAAATCATTAACACCTGTAAACTATTTATGTTTAGTGCGGATATGTTTGCGAAGATTGCCTGAATTGTTGTCCCGATAGCCACAGCCGGGCCAGTGACACATCAGGGGCTTATCATTGACGTGAATATTCTTGTGATCGCTGAGGTGATGCTTTTGCCGGAACCGTTTACCACATTCTGGCCAATTGCAGGCGTACGGCCGCTCACCCGTGTGGATGTAATGGTGAGACTTCAATGTACTCGATGGGCCCCTAAATTCACATCCGGGCCAAACACATGGCATAGTTTTGGACACTTTGCGACACTCTTCGTATGACAAACCCTTGTGGACCAGTTTGACGTGTAATCTACGTCTATAGTCGTTCTTAAACGAGTGGTCGCAGCCGTTCACAGAGCACTTGATCAGCGATGTCTTGTCGTGGGTTTGCGAGTGCTCTTGCAATCGCCGATCGCTCTTAAAAGCCTTACCGCAGCCCTCGAATTGGCAATGATATGGCCGCTCATCCGAATGGCTGGTCATGTGAGCGGTGAGCATACCTGAGCACCGGAACTGGCGGCCGCAGTCGGCGATCGAGCACTTGTATGGCTTGGTATTGGTGTGAATCCGATGATGAATTCGCATCTGACCCGAGAGTTTGAATACTTTGCCGCAGACATCGCACACAATGTCCGGCCTTTTGTTGTGAGCGTTGATTAAATGTCGGTAAAAATTATATTGTTTTTCTATCCTCTCTCGACAGTCGCCTTCCGTACAGACATAGCAATTGGTGTCGACATCGAAGTACTCTTTTGTGTGCGAATCCATTCTCTGTTGAAACTCTGGACCACAAGATTGCAATTCATGGACTGAACGCATGTGTCGGTACAGATCAATAAGCAGTCCATACCTAGAGTCACAGCCAGTCTTAGGGCACACGTAATGACCGGTCATGTCATCCATTATGCCCTCAAAATTCAAGTATTTCTGTCGCAGTTCTTCGAGCTCTTCCATCTCCGCAGCTGTTCTTCGTTTTCGGATTCGTTTCTTAACCTCTAATTTCTCGACACTCTTATCATACGATTCATTGTCTTCATCAGAGATGCTTTGATCCACGAGTGAAGAACTGCGATCGTCGGTGGCCTCAGACGGCGCCTCCTTTTTGGTTTCCATATCTATTGACTGCAACTCTTGTCTCAACATTTTAGGCCTTCCGGGGCGTCGCTTAACCACAACCCGATTATCACGTGTTTTGTTGGTATCGCACGAAGACTTTGGCCTTTTCCTGCACTTCGGCACAATTGGTGTCGCGTTTATCTCTTCAGCGATCACTTCTCGTTTGACGCCCGCATCCAATGGTCGTAACTCTTGTGTCAACTCATTGTAGTTGTGTTTGTCTTCAGCCGAGAGTTGTGTCTCAAATGTGTGGTAAATGTGAGACAATTGAGTCTTCAATTTCATGAGACAATTGTTTGCAAACAATAATTCACTCAAAAGTCGTTTGTTTTCGTCGAAGAGTTCGTCAAAAATGTCATTACTTTTGACCAAAACTCGTGTCAATTGTTTTGCCATTACTTTCGATGAGATCTCAATTCAAACCACAATTCAAACTAAATCTCATAACAAATACAACAAAACATTGTTTACAAACACAACAACACATAACACACGCACTCATTGGGGGGACTGTTATTGCATTCAAAACAGCACTGAAAAAATTGAAATAAATTATTTTATTAACTTTTAATTATTATCTATATTTATAAAATTAGTTTTAATCACAAAATTAATGCACAACAAAATTATATTGAATTTAACAATAAAATTAAACTATTTATGATTAGTGCGGATGTGTTTGCGAAGATTGCCGGAATCGTTGCACCGGTAGGCACATCCAGGCCAGTGACACATCAGGGGCTTATCATTCACGTGAACATTCTTGTGGTCGCCGAGGCGTTGTATTTGGCGGAACCGTTTGTCACAACCGGGCCAATCGCAGGCGAACGGCCGCTCACCCGTGTGGATGAGATGGTGAGTTTTCAAAGTACCGGATTTGCCCCTGAACTCACACCCAGGCCACCCGCACTGCCACTTTTTGAACACTGGGCGACACTCTTCGTACGCCAAACCCTTGTGGACCTGTTTGACGTGTAACGTACGCCAATACGCGGTCTTAAACCACTCGTCACACCCGTCGACAGTGCACTTCATCTGAAATGTCTTGTCGTGCGATAGAGAGTGTCGTTGCATATGACCCGCGGTCTTAAAGGTCTTACCGCAGCCCTTGAATGGGCACCGATGCGGCCGATCCGACGAATGGCTGGTCAGGTGTTCGCTAAGCATACCTGACGTTAGGCACCGGTAGTCGCAGCCGGCGATCGAGCACTTGTATGGCTTCGTATTGGTGTGCCTTCGCTTATGGATCAGCAGCTGAGCCGGCAGTCGGAACGCTTTGCCGCAGACATCGCACACAATGTTCGGCCTCTTGTTGTGAGCGTTGATTAAATGTCGGTAAAAAGTGAACCGTTTTTTAATCCTCTCTCGACACTCGCCTTCCGTACAGACATAGCAATTGGTGTCGACATCGAAGTACTCTTTGGTGTGCGAATCCACTCGTTGTTCAAACTCAGGACCACTTGATTGCAGCTCATGGACTGTCCGAAGATGTTTGTATAGATCAATAAGCAGTTCATATTTTGAGTTACAGCCAGTCTTAGGGCACACGTAATGACCGGTCGTCTCATCCATTGTGCCCTCAAAATTCAAGTACTTCTGTCGCAGTTCTTCGAGCTCTTCCTTCTCCGCAGCTGTTCTTCGTTTTCGGATTCGTTTCTTAACCTCTAATTTCTCGCTCTTATCATACGATTCATTGTCTTCATCAGAGATGATGTGATCCACGGGTGGAGAACTGCGACCGTCGGTGGCTTCAGACGCTTCCGCTTTGATTCCCATATCTTTTGATTGCAACTCTTGTGTCAACACTTTCGGCCTTCCGGGGCGTCGCTTAACCACAACCCGATTATCACGTGTTTTCTTCTTATTGCACAAAGACTTTGACCCCTTCTTAGCGCTGGTCATAACTGGCGCTTCGACCACACCGTCATCGGTGGTCATGCGGGTAATCAGTAGGTCTGCGGGTGTTGTCCATTGCGGACATCCATTACCACTACTGTCAGACGCTTCCAATGGCCGCATCTCTTGTGTCAACTCATTGTAGTTGTGTTTGTCTTCAGCCGTGAGTTGTGTCTCAAATGTGTGGTAAATGTGAGACAATTGAGTCTTCAATTTCATGAGACAATTGTTTGCAAACAATAATTCACTCACAATAATTCACTCAAAAGTCGTTTGTTTTCGTCGAAGAGTTCGTCAAAAATGTCATTACTTTTGACCAAAACTCGTGTCAATTGTTTTGCCATTACTTTCGATGAGATCTCAATTCAAACCACAATTAAAACCAAATCTCACAACAAATACAACAAAACATTGTTTACAAACACAACAACACATAACACATGCACTCATTGGGGGGACTGTTATTGCATTGAATTACAAAACCATTAATATTTTTTATTGATAACCAGTTTTAAGTTAAATTATAACAATAACTAATCTTTATTTATATAGTAATTAAATCTGTATCAATGAAAACCACAATTAAAACACATTAATATAAAAATAAAATAAATAAAAATCCCAATCAATCAATAAATGTCTGCATTATTTATGAGTAGTGCGGATGTGTTTGCGAAGATTGCCGGAATCGTTGCACCGATAGGCACATCCCGGCCAGTGACACACCAATGGCTTCTGGTTGATGTGGATATTCTTATGGTCGTTAAGATACTGTTTCAAACGGAACCGTTTGCCACAGTTGGGCCAATCGCAGGCGAACGGCCGCTCACCCGTGTGGACACTCTTGTGAATGGCCAGGTTTTGGAGGGCGCCGCGGAACTCACATCCCGGCCAATCGCACACAAACTTTTTGGCCACTTTCTTGCAGAGCTCCGGCGGCAGACCCTTATGAACGAGTTTGACATGAATAGTACGCCAGTAGCGACTCTTGAACCACTCGTCGCACCCGTCGGCCGAGCACTTGATCCGGAAGTGCGGGTCGTGTGTCTCGGAGTGTTCGCGCAGTTTCTCGCGGCTCTTGAAAGTCTTGGCGCAGCCGTCGTGTGCGCACAGAAACGGTCGGTCCTCCGTGTGGACAGCCATGTGATAATTGAGTTGCGGTTTCGTGCGGCCCCTGTACTCGCAGCCCGGCATATGACACGCGTAGGGCTTTGTGTTGGTGTGGATCCGCTTGTGAAGTGTGTACAGCTTTGCCTTCTTGAACACTTTGCCGCAGTATTCGCAGACAATGTCCGGCAGTTTGCGGTGGTCTTTGATCAGATGTCGGTAAAAGTTAAGCTGATTGTCAAACACGCCGTTCGGCTGAAGACAGTTGGGCTCAACGCACACGTAGTGCTGGCCGTCGGGCGACAAATAGGGAGCCGTGTGTTCGTTGA